CAGACCAGCACGTGACTTCGCTACTAAAAGCAGACCAGCACGTGACTCTGCTATCCAGTTTTGGTGTGTACGCAGAGGCTGCTGAAGTAGTGCACCGTGGAGACTCACACACCTGTACTCATAGCAGTGCCGTTTACAATGATCAAGTTGTTAATTAGACCAGGAATCTATCAGCAGGTGCACAAATAAAGAAAATTTGGTATATAAACACAGTAGAGATTATATACCTTGCAAAAAGAATTATGCCATTGGCTGGGAAATAGGCACATTAAGTAAAATATGTCTAGTTCGGAAAGAAAAAAAATATTGCATATTTTCTTTTATCTGTGGTCCTAGATTATATATAGGTAAATAAGTGTGTTATATATATTTGACATGAAAGTGGAAGATGAGAGTGTGGGGAGAGAGGTGGGAATGGAGATGGGAATGAATATAGTGAAAATACATGTTATACTTGAAAGAGATTGTCTTTTTGAAACCTAGCACTATGTTTGATGAATACGAACCAATAAAAAGTAAATAAGAAGAATGGGAGGTGAACACATTTTTTACCCTTGAGGGTTAAAACTTTTATTGGGAAATGTCAAGCAAGTCACATAAAAATAAATTCCATAGGGGAAAAAAACATTAAAAAGAAAAGTCTAGAAATAAAACATTTAACCACTTGTACTTTGAAACAGAGTAAGAAATTCTAAAACAATTTGAAGAATAATTTCACTATAATTCTAATGTATTAGTATCAAAAATTATTTTTAAAGAGAATAAATAGTAACAGACACTGGGCTTTTCCAAATCATTCCATGAGTTTATATGTTCATAGCATTGGTATGTTGCATGTCCTGTTAAATAGATACAGAGACTGAAAAATTAAGACGAAAAAGAAAACTGATCCAGGTCAGGACACTCAGCAACAAGAACCACCACAGCAGCTGGGGTAGCAGCAGGTGGGCCTGCAGCAGGTAGGTCTGCAACAGCTGGACACACAGCAGCTGGGCCTGCAACAGCTGGACACACAGCAGGTGGGCCTGCAACAGCTGGACACACAGCGGGTGGGCCTGCAGCAAACAGACTGGCAGCAGCTGGGCCTACAACAGCTGGACACACAGCAGCTGGGCCTGCAGCAGGAAGGCCTGCAACAGCTGGACACACAACAGGTGGGCCTGCAGCACACAGACTGGCAGCAGCTGGGCCTGCAACAGCTAGACACACAGCAGCTGGGGCGGCAGCAGGAAGGCCTACAGCAGCTAGAAATGCAACAGGTGGGGCGGCAGCAGCTGAGCCTGCAGCAGCTGGGGCGACAGCAGGTGGGCTGGCAGCACACAGACTGGCAGCACTGGGGTCTGCAGCAGCTGGACACACAGCAGCTGGGCTGGCAGCAGCTGGGTCTGCAGCAGCTGGGCTGGCAGCAGCCTTGGCCACAGCCCTCCTCAGAGCAGACAGAGCCACAACAGGAGTTGACCATGGTGTCTGGGGTGGAGATTGGAGATAGATTTCCAAATGAATGTATGACTTGAATCTGGGCATGTCCATGACCTGGGTCCCCTTTTATATCCTGCTGGGGGCACTCTTCCTCTTTGTTGTTAATCCTACTAAGAAGGTAAACATCCAACTGGGCAATTATGTTTTCTACTTTTGATGGAAAACATTGTCGTGTTTTCCCGATGGATTAAGGCTTATCGCATGGACTTCCTGATATTCAGTTAGCACAGTCCTCATAGTTCAGGCACTGACTATTCCAAATTAAGTGTACTGATGCTCACTCCATCTGTTCTTTCCTCCTGAATCATTTTATCTTCCCTTCCTTGTGCTCATTATGCACATCTAAAATCTTTCAGCTTCTTCTGTACAGGACAGTCCTATGAAGGATGACACTCAGTCCAGGTGCTGCTCTTCCCTGGCTGCAGCTCACACAATGCCTACAATATTTTTAGATGTTTTTTTGTATGTTTGTTTGTTTGTTTGTTTGTTTGTTTGTTTTAAGGGAAAGAAACCTAATCAGTCTGATGAGATATCCTGAAATATCTCGAGATATCTGATGAGAATCATTGAAAGACAAGGTTAAAATATATGCAATGTGGTCAGTTGTAACCAAAAATAGTCAGTGAGCAACAATAAAGGAAACCCCACTGCAATCAAACTATTTCCACCCCATTTTCTGGAATTGAGAAGGCTCACAGTTTTTCTGCTTTTGGAAAATCGGTGTATTTAACAGGCAGGAATTGGTGGAGGACTTGCCCAGGACCATATAGGTCTTATGTAAGTGTCCAGAGCTGTTTCTTCCAGTTCATGTATGCAACAGCCATGTCATGTCCAGAGGCTGGCTGGCTGTTCACAGCATTCCTCTCCATCCCACAGATAAAGCATTCTGTCTGTCTGTCCACCCTTATGATGATCCTTGAGCCTTGGAGCAGCATAGGAGAAGCATAGATGGTTCAGTCATGGCTGAACACTCACCAAAGGGCTCCTGATGCTCCCCAGCCACACCTAAAGAGCTAGAATCACTTTTGACCATTACTAGGTTACCCATACACCCAGGAGTATATAAGCAGCACCAGCTGGACTCAGGAGATTATGAAGAAATAAAAGGAGATTTGCTGGGGGTCAAGAGGAGTTAGGCGGAGGGAGTAGGGGTATATAATGATCCATTGTATATACATATGAAATTTTCAAACAATTTTTTAAGTCAATATTTTTCTAGAGTGGACACTGGAGTTGGTAACAAGGTTTGTATTACTAAGACTATTTATATCCATATTGTATGAATTATATTTATATAAAATAGAATATGTAATATAACATTATTATTTTGAACATATATAGGGAGAGACTGATATAGATGTTACTAGTTATGAATTAATAATAGTTTCTTATAATTTTTTTTCATTTTATCCTATTAAAGAAGCTTAAGGTCCATCTGATTACTTTCCTTCTCAATTTTTACAAGACGACTCTTTGCTTTAAATGAAATGTAATCCTGTATTATAATCTTTGCCATGAACTTCTAAGGGTTGGGGATTTGGGAATCCCAGGCCAGTCTGATTGTCAGCCAGCAGTACCAATTGGAATGCTGAAGAAGTTTAGAAGTTTATTGGATAAGCAGCTGTTGACTCAAGTTCTCTAGGGGTCATCTTTAGTACCACATACCTGTGACCCAGCAAGCAACAGTTAAGAAAACACAGGGGCTTCAAGGCTGAGCAAGTTCCATAGTTAAGTCTGATGTCTGTTCAGATTAATTGGTGACCTTAAATTACTGTTTTGTATATATTTTGAATCTTGCTCTTGCCATAAAATTTCTGGTCTCCACTGGTGTGTTGTAGGCTTAGACTTGTCAGACATCTACTGTGTTTAAGGTTCTTAAACACCTTCACCTCCCTTCCAACTGCCTGATCCTAGATAGTAGATTAGTAGGGGAAGGGGTTGTAGATCTCTTTTATCTACTTCCTGCTAATAAGGGTTGATGGGTTCTTTGGGGATTACCAAGCTCATTCATCAGGATACCAGCAGTCTAGTCTAGCAAAGCAACAGCAGCAACATGAGGCAGCAGCAGCAGAACGATTCCATAGAAGTGGCTAGAATCTGCCCAAATGGCATAAATCTGCTGAGGTTGCAAAACTCCACCAAAGCAGCATGAGAAGTTCTCTGGAGAGTTTTTTTTTTTTTGTTTTTGTTTTTGTTTTTTGTTTTTTTTTTCTCTGTGAAGACCAGTGAAGGATGCAGATCGTTGCAAAGAGTAGCAATGCAGAAGCGTTCTCTCACTGTCTGTGGGCTTCTATTCATGCCTTCTCAGAATCCACCCAGGATGTTTTCCAGCTCACAAAAACCACTCCCCTTGAGCAAGCTAGTTTCAGCTGACATGCCTTTTAACAGGGTCTGTTTTCCAAGGGGCAAAACAGTCCCACATCCCACACTTGGGATCCAAACAAACAAACAAAAAACATTGTCACATGAAGCAACTGAATTTCCAAAGAAAGCAGAAACTTCCACTTTGGTGCATTTCATGAGAGAACATGCCACTAAGTCACATATCCATCTTGAACCTGCTGGTAGACTGGAAAGCAGTGCCTTAGCAGAGAGAAGGGGCTTGCTACAAACTGGAAGAGTACACTATAAAGTCTTGATCAGGAAGGCTGACTCAGAAAGTCTGGGAAAGACTCTAGAAATTGTGCCTGTATTCTTAATTTTTTTTTTCTGTGACATCCCAGTCCACAGCTTGAGTTTCTACACCCCAGTAAAAGATGTCAAAGTGGAGTTTGGAAGTGTAGCAACTGTAAGACTTAAAGATGGAAGCACAAGTTAGTGTGTACGATCACAGTCATCTCCCACTTCTCCCTTCCCCTCCTCACTTCATGTCTCCTTTTCCTCAATCCACTGAGTTCATTTGTACTTCCCGTTTACTCATGGATGTGAGGCCATCCCACTGGAATATGGTTGACCTTCTTGGAGCCACACACATCAAGAAAACCAACTCTCCCTCAACTACCCTAACTCCTCACATGGGACTGAAGGTTCCATGAGCCCCTCCAAACACCATTCTGGAATATTCATTGGCTTGACCTCGAATAGGTCTGGTGCAGGCGGCCACAGCTGCTGAGAGATCGTGAGTGCAGAGGTTCAATTTCAGGAAACTCAAATGCCTACGGGGACACTTCTCCCCCAGAATTCTGTTCCTGCCTCACATGAGCTACAAAATCGTGCAGCCAACCTCTCTCCGCCAATGGAATTATTCTACTGGTTGAATTCCTCAATAGTCATAGCTCTCACAGGGGGATGGGAAGGGCCAGAGAAAGGACTTTCTGCCGCTGCAATTCACAAACACCCCACCCTCAATTCAGCTTCCCCGTGGAGGGGGTAACTGTATACTGTCAGAGCTGATGGCCCAGAGTCAAGCCTTTAACTAGCTTCTGTCTGAGAGTCAACAATGCGTGTAATTAGCAGTACGGGCCTGGTCCCTACCCCCACGAAACCAAGTTTACAGTCTCTCCTTGAAAGGAGTTAGACCACACATCAAGCAGTCTGACTTTTATATCTCCCATCAAAGGACTAGCTCCTAAATACAAGAGTCTTTGGGAACCATAGGCATCAAAGTGGCAATTTCAAGGAGGCTCAGGAGCAGTGTTTATTTCTCTAGTTCAACGCACACCTAGCAGACAGAAACACCCAGCTCTCATTATGCTGTGGAATGGTCTTGGCTTCATATTAGGTATGAAGTCCCAAATTCCCCAGTTGTTCTCCAGATGTCAGGATTTTATTTACTCTTTTAGCCTTGGAACAGCTGGAGCTGATAATTACCACAACTTTGAGAGTCTAAACAACAGGTGGATAAACATTTCCCACAAACCCTTACCTAGGTTTTTCCCAGTAATAAATCCCACCCTGCAACTAATCTGCCTTCTGATGGGATTGTAGTCACTGTTGTGTAAAAGACTAAGTGTCCCCTTGCAGGGTCAGGACTAAAAGAGAGTGAAAAGTCAGCTTGTCTCTGAGGAATTAGGGAAGCAGACCACACAGGGAGTAAGCCAACTTTCCAGCTTCTTGAGTGACAAGGCTCTACCTAGCGTCTTGGGACAGTAATGTACTTGTCATACTTGAATTTCCTGAGGAACCACTAAGAATGAGACAGTGATTTGAACAAGAGCAAAGGTTGAAAGGCACTCGGAGTATCTGTCCCAAGGAGGCCAGTCTGGAAAGACTGGACCATGGGTAGGAGAGGTGGAGACACTTCACCTTATACGGAGAAACCAATAGGGAAACCTGATTGAAATGAGAAGAGAGGAAATATGTTCTGAACAAAATAGCAAGACAAATATGCAGACAATTATGAAAGTTACAAGACCTGGATGTTTCAAATAACTAATATGTGAATCGGTACATGAAAGGTGTCATGGCTGGTTTTGTTTTGTTTGTTTGTTTGTTTGTTTTTGTCAACTTGACACAACTGAGTTATCTGAGAAGAGGTATCTCAATACAGAAAATGCCCGCATCATATCACCAAGTCTTTGGGGCATTATTTTTGACTGATGATTGATGTGGGCTCACTGTGGGTAGTGTCACCTCCAGGCTGATGGTTCTGAGTGGTATAAGAAAGCAGGCTGAGTAAGCCATAGGAAGAAGAGCAAGTCAGTATGCAGCACTCCTCCATGGCCTCTGCGTCAGCTCCTGCCTCCAGGTTCCTGCTTTGAATTCCTGCCCTGACTTCCCTCAGTGATGGACTGCAAGCAGTACAAAGAAAGAAACCCCTTTTCCCCAGGTTGCTTTTTGTCAATGTGTTTTACCACAGGGATAGAAGGCAAACTAGGACAAAAGGTATGCAATGGAGGAGGAGGAGCTAAAAGCAGAGTGTTCGCATACACAAAGGAAATCGGTATCAGCTAAGAAACACTGTTATAAGTATGAGATGGCTTACAACAACACAACAAATACCTATACAGAGTACAGCATAGAAACAGAGATGAATGGATACCT